ATGTTTTTTAGGAACCCCCGGTTTCCGCTTGGTTTCCCTTAAAGCCACCAAAGAAACCAAAACCCCCTAAAATGGTGGTTTCCCTTCGGTGTCCTTTTAACCCCAGCCCAAAAAAAAGAAAGAAGAGATACCCTCAAACACGACACACCCATATGTCTCAAGGGCACCACACGTCTGGAGTGAGGACATGTTCGGTACTTCTCTTGATCAGTCCTGACCCACCTGCCTGCCCAGTGACCCGTGAGGAAAAAAAAAAGGCCATGCATCTCTGGCGTGGCGCGGAACTAGGTCATAACTTGATCGACTTGACAAAATTCGTTCGGGCTCAACGAAGTGCAATCTAAACTTGATGCGAATGGCGGCTCCCATCGAGAATCTCCATGAGCGGAACAGAAGTACCAAGGAAAAAGGAAACATGCTTCCAAATAAATAAGGAAACATCTACAGGTTGGTGCCCCTTATTTGTATGCATCAGTTGGTTGTTGTTGAGTCGGCACCCAGGATTCACGATCTTGTCGTGGTGAAGTGTATATATATATATACATGTATGAGTATAAATAATAGATACATCGGTTGTATATACATACAATGCCTACTGCCCGTTTACAGCGGTACTCTGCGAGTTGAAAGACACTTGCATTGGTTTTTTGTTTACCAACCTGACCAAAAAATGGATCTCTAATATTTCAGAACCTGCATCATGGCGAGATTGGTTCATCCCGGGATCGGTGACTCGTCCTCCGTGTAGCCCCGCTCCCAGTTCGCCACACGGTGGGGGTAGTATGGCCTCACGGCAAGTACCCCTCCGTCCGTTGAGGCCTTACATGTATATATGTCTATATGTATATATCTCCCTATCAGGGTTCCTTCACTTCCTTCCTTCATCCTTTTGGCTTCGGATCGTCTAAATTCGACGATTCTTCAACTGGCCTGATGTATCCTCCCGGACCCCGGCCCTTTACTTCACCAGGCAGAACGCTCGGGATTGGAACCCGCCGGCGACCCACGGTGGCGGCCTGGGTATGAGCCAAAATCGGGGGCACCTCAAACATTTTGGCGTTCATGTGGCTGTCCTTAATGCTAAGCTGAACACGGTGCCCTCAAACCCTGCCATTCACGTGCCCGGATTATATGATATATATATATATATATCCCTGACAATCCAATGTATGCAAATAGCGCCTACATTGGCCGACGCCAGCGTTTTTCAACTACATTGCCCCGATAAACCTGAATGTAGCCAATTTTGGGGGACATTCAAACCGACAAGATCCGACAAGGGTTTCGACAAACTTTCCGACAACCATTTCGACAACTCCGTTCGACGACGCCTTCCAAGCACTCTTTTACGTCCGTTGGGGCAACAACATCAAACTCACAGGGCAGCAAAAGAGAAAGGCAGTCTCGGAGTGACGCATTGAAAACTAACAAACATGCAGATTCCTGGCAACGAACCTAAAGGGCACAGAAATGACTCTAGCCAACTTCGGCTATCATTGCCGGCAAATGTTGCTTACCTGTCAGCTGGCTTGCTTGACCAATCATTGCGGTCAAGAAGCACGTGTTCGATAGTTCAGACTCTTTAGTCACAACATTAAATTTCCAGCGCAGGGTGACACCAAGGCACCCCACGGGTTGGCCAAAACCTATCAAAAAGCCAAAGCATTACGCATAAGAGCTACGCTTGGAGGAAACAACTCCTTGCAAAACACTTCGCAACAGGAGATGCGTCAGTCCAACAAAGTCGACACACACTGCACTGATGGGGGTTGCTACCCCGAACAGAAGACTTCAGCAAATGACGCTGCATCGTTGCTGTCTACACGGGCACTAATTCGACACCGTACCTGCGTATATCTGAAATGCGCTATTTCCTGTTTGTTTGTTAGTTGCGACCTTTGCTGTCCCGAGGCAACTCCCCGAATCGTTTATTTAAGTACGCTTACAGAAAAGCGCGCTTGCACAGGGGCGATGGGTCGTCATGACAAGTTGCTCGCGAACCAATCATCACCGACGTATAGGGTTGATTTTCCACAGAGCAGTGCCACGCTGCCACAACCCCGTCCAGAGCGCAAGCCCAACTTAAAGCGCCCTTGTTGTGTTGAAGTTTGAAGCAGGTGTTTCATCTGTTTCGACGAAACTCCCTTTGAAGCCACGTTAGCAGTTCCCAAGCATAACTGAAGCACTCGAAATCGTACTGGTTTGGGCTCTAACGAAGCCTCTACGAACTGTCGCAGACCTTTCTCCCATCGATGAGTCGCAATTCAACAACTCGCAGCTTCAAAGAATTATCAGCTTGCTTTCGCGTATCAAACAGGAATGTCAAAATGTGCTGGGAAGGGCTCAAGTGGCCTTGAGGAAAATGATTGAGACTGGACTGGACGGATATGACGCTCCATATGTTGCTTTGCAAGAGCTCGATTGACCGATGAAGCCCAACTATAAAGGACACGCGTCTTCAGAACAAATCACAGAGTGTGATAGTCGTATTTTGTTGTTTCGGAATGCCCCCAGAAGTTGTTTTTTGTAGTTGTCTATGTGCGTTGCCCGGCTAACATGTGGTGCCAACTTCTTCTTTTTTTAATTGTGCTCTCCTTTCTAAGTATGTCCCTGCCAATTTATCTCCGAACATTTTAAGCTCTTTGGTTTGCCCTCATGGGGTATAGGTTAGCATTAGCGCCAGGGCTATGGTACTCTATTGATCTGACGAACGCTTCTCTTTTTGGGCCAGCCTGCCAAGTCACACGCCAAATCCCTGACATGCATGTCCTTCCAGCATAAGCTAAAAACGCAACACCGAGGAGAAATCACGTAACATCACAGTTTTTTGCTGAACATTGGCAGCAGTACACGCACTATCCGGCAATAAATCGTAAGCAAAAATATGACTACGTTCCGACAGCAAATCACGCAAAATCACGCGGAATCACTCCCAGAGTTGTTGGGCCATTTGCTGCAGTCAGTGATGCGCAGGCTGTTTGGGGCTTGTGGAAAATGTGGCGCGGGCACAGTTTAGCCAGGACCCGCCGTTTTCAGGTGTGAGAGAATGTGAGGAATACTTTGCTGAGCTGCAGTCGGAATTCCCTAATGCACGTGCTGTGACTTTGTCGTGGGCAGCCTGCTTATGAAAGAGAGTGTAAAACTTGAGTGGCCAGTTTGGAGCTCTGAAAAAGACTGATGATGGTGTTGTATGGTAAAACTTGAACCCTTGCTCAGAATTAGGAGTTAGGAAATCTACCTGGCAAATCCGGGTTCACTAAAAAATCAGTAGCGCCAAGCAATCGCATGCCAAGCCCGGTCGGAGAACGAATCTTGCATGGCACATATTGCCTACAGTGACTCTTTGTCGTGGCATGTATATCCTCCAATCTGGGTGGGGTAAGAGATAATGGTTCGAACATTTTGAATCTTGGGATAATGACAATGACCTGAAACGAGGCACACAAACACTTTGTGTCATTACGCAGTACATCGAGACAAAAACAATCTCTATTTGTATGCATTGTACACAAATATGTTATTGCTTCATCTGCCTGACCAATTTGAGCCGTGTTTTTTTTGCAAATTACTTTTTAACACCCTTTTCGCATAAGAAGCCTTCTTCCTGGATAATCGCAGGTTTGAGTGCTGGATAGATGCAGGAGCCTGGGTGGCCAATATATTGCTTTGGACTCCTCATCTCGCAGCCAGTAAGGAGCCAGCATTTCTAAGTCCCAAACACAATGCCTACGCGCAACCAAAATCATGCCCAAACTCAGCTGTCGCAATCCCAAGTTTGAAGTAGTTGTAAAAATTGCGCCCCGCTGGTAGCTGTTGGGTAAAATAAGGGATTTTACCTTGCTTCCTGATAGAGGACAAGCAAAACGGTGGTATGGGTAAAGTTACTACATCAAGTATTTTACATCCTTCCGCACAAGTATCAGGATCGTAGCAAGATTACCTAGATGATAACTGTCCTTTCTGGTTGGGAGTGAGGGCTTCTGGTAACAAGTCCCGACTTTTAGCGGCAAACGCCGTCATGCCAATGATTTGCATTGCGAGGTTGACAATTGGAGTATATTGCAGCGGCTGTCAATAAGTGTGCAGAAAGTGGCGCGTATCGTAATACAAGCGTATAACCCGTACGTATTTTGCATGGTCTCCTCGTCTGTGCACATGCACGAAGTCTGCATTTCACCAGCGCGAATTGCAAGCGCAGAGTATGTTGACAGTATCCATGCTCGTTCAAAAAGAATGGGCTCCCTGCAAGTCACTGGTTGCTACTGCAGGTAACACGCAACCAAAACCATGTTTGATGTTTTACCCATTGCTCCCCAAACATCCATACTTTGAAGTGGTTATGTCAACACTGCGACGAATACTGCTCAAACGAAATACACTGTAGCAAAGGGGGCTCTGTGCGGTATGTTTGCGGCTAAGTGTGCAGGCTGGTAAGAAAGATTATTTGACCTCGTGCGATTGTGATTGGGGCTGACAAACGTGGTCATTTCTGGACGGGATTTTGACTGTCCGACGGGGGCTTTTCCAAACGATGCCATTCTTGGGTTATATTTTGACTGTCCGACGGGAGCTCCGACAAATTCCGACAATGTCGTCATTTTTTGGCTACGTACCAATGTACCCAAAAAATGGCTACATTTCAATGTATGCCATATTTGCCTACATGGATTCTCTGGGATATGAAGAATTGTATAAATATATATATATATATATACACATGTTTGCTATGGCGTCTGCAACTTTATGCCCGGACAGTTGATTAAATAGGTGAACTGATGTTTTACACTAGGTCCGGAGCAGATACGCTGAGCCTGCCCGGCAAATAAACAAGCGGAAGTTAAACTTGTGTTTTATACTAGGTCTGACTGGCAAGCGCCCGGCCCAACCGGACCAGTATATTAAAACAGGTGCAAATTGCAAGATTGAAAGCAGTTGGAGCACAAACAGTTGGAGCCCAAACAAGTGGAACCCCAGCCGCTGGAGCCCAAACAGTTGAAGCCCAAACAGTGCGAACCAGCCGTTGAAACTTTTGGAGCCCAAACAGTTGGAACCCCGGACAGTTGGAACCTCCACATTCAGAACTCCAACTGTTTGTTGTAGCCCCCACTGTTGGAGCCAAAACAGTTGGAGCTTAAACACCCGCAGTTGGCGCCCAAACACTCACAGTGCAAACTCCAGCTGTGTGTTGCATGTTGGAGCCCTCCATACAGTTGGAACCTCCACAGTGGACTCCAACTGTTTGTTGTAGCTCAGGAGCCCAAACAGTTGGAACCCTCACATTCAGAACTCCAACTGTTTGTTGTAGCCCCCACAGTTGGAGCCCAGACAGTGGGAACTCCTCCAACTTGCGTTTCTAAATAAACATACGGACACTTAAACAGTTGTTTTAGACTATCTCCGACCGAGCCGCGGGCCCGGCCCGCAGGTTTAAATACCCGGATCAACAGGGATCCTACATTATACACCTGAACATTGCCTTGAAATGGTGGTGTCCATTTATTTTGGTGGAAAAAAAAACATGTTTCAAATGGTTGCAAAACGTATCTTTTAAGGAGCCCTGATTAACCGGGTATTTATACTACCTTTGAGGCCACCGGCCCTCATATGTATTTGTAGACACCGAATCGAAGCAAGCAACCCCATCAACCTCTGAACAGAAAGATCTTGCACGCATCGAGCGGCGGATGTGCGTCGCCCCCGTAGAAGTACACGAAGACCGGCACGCTCGCCTTTGGCCACAAAAGGCGACAGAGGATGATTGACCTCATTGGGAACACCTGACATTGGTGCCGGGACCCGGCCACCAGCTACTCTACAACCCACGCAAACTTTCCAGGCCTTGTGTTCCATGGTCGGCCTTGTGTTTCCCCAATGAAGCTTCGGCGGGGTGGTCGTTGGAGGGGTTTGCAAACTCAAAGGCGCTCAACGCTACCGGCCCTTGGGCCCTTGGGCCCTGGGCCCCCGCCATGTTGAGAGAAACGGGACGAAGCCTACAGCTGACTTCATGGGTGCCCCATGCCAGCGCCTTGGTTTTTCAAGAGCGGTCCTGAAGCTTGTAACATGATACTGTCCATGCGCTGCGCATGCTTGAGGTGGTGCCTTGTTTCACCAAAACTCCCTTGTGGAGTGGATAGGCCCAAAGTCTAAACTCTTTCTTGTAACACCAAGTCGTACCCAAACCAGCTTCCCCAAACACAAGGTCCTGCAGACCACATCCCTCCCCAAATTGCATGCGGAAAACCAGATTTCACCAGCACCTCAGAAAGTCCACACATTTGGGAACTCAGAACATGTCTTCTGACACGCACATGCCGACGAGGGACATTGTAGGCATCCCAGGAGAGCAGGAGCTTATGAAGCCTTGCTTCAGGGGAAGCAAACAAAACACCGCTTGCGCATCGAGTTGTAAGGCATCACCGGAAGAAAGTTCCCTAAAGACGGGTGACAAGGACGTTTCGCATTGGGCAGGCAGCCTGGGGCTTCAAAAGTCCGAAACGACGCCAAACGCTGGCCTTTGGGTCTTCAAGTGGATCCTGAATACCGTTCCTCTGCAGCAGCTTCCCCTCTGCAGGAGCTTCCCTCACATGATGGCTTTGGGGCCGCACGTTAACGTCCTGAAGAGTACATGCCAGTAGAAAATAACCAAATCTGTGGATTCCAATCCCTATGACTGCTCCATCACGTTGACGGAAACCATTTTGTCATACTGAGCATGAAGCACGTCTCACACCAACAGATGGTACCACAAGTCAGCGCGGGTTTGGGCACAGGGGTGTTTTGCAACTCTCCTTAAGGAGGCCAAGTCAAGCTCAGTAAAGCCGACAGTTGACCTTTTGGGCTTCCCATATCGGTCCATCTTTGGTTGTGGACCTCCAGAGTTGATCACATTGTATTGTGGGTCCCTAAGGGGCAACTGAGTTCCACGCCAATGCCCCAGAAGGTTGCTTCCCACTTGTAACTGGACCCAACAACAAACATGGTCGCCCCCCCCCCCCGGCCAAAAACAGAAGAGGCCCCTGTTTGCGGCAAGGAGTGGTTGGAGTTGTAGCACAGAATGCAGTAGTTTCGCAATGGGTTTAAATGGCTCAGACTCCTGGTTGTTTTCTGTTTCCACGGGGTCGAGCAATTATGTAAGCAGGCAGGTTGCAAATGTATGTTTCAGGCATGCAGGCAGGCATGTTGCCAGGTGCACGTTTCAGTTAGTTTCGAGTTCTGTTGTTTTGGGGCTTCTGAAAAGAAAGGATTGGGGGCCCCTAATACGGCTGGATACGGCTCGAGTTGGGGTCACGAGGGAAAATCGCAAGCTAGTCTTGTTTAATGGTAATATTGGTTTAGATTGGCCAATTTTTGATTTAGCATTCCTGGACCTGGATGTTTTTGGAGCTGGAATACTATTTATATTCGTTCTTACGGGGACCTTCACTAATATGGGAGGACAAAAGTTCAAACAGCCAGGGCCCTACCTTAACCCATGTACTAGATAGCCAGAGGTCAGGGCAAGGCTCCCTGTACTTGAGCAATTCAGCGGGGGCTTCCCTTTAAAACTTTACTTGTGTCATCGTTCCCATTTGACCGGGGGTGATGTTTAAGTGTGTCCTTCTCGAAGCTTTTCTTTGGGCAAAACACATTCTCCTTCGAATCCCTGCGGGTCCAACAGTCGGTGTCGCGCCATTTTGAGCCCAAGCGACTTGCTGCCTGCTTGACCGGATTTGAGACCCGCGGCACTTTTCAGGGCTAAGCCTTAGACCACGCCTGCACAACGGCCGCATGCAAAACAGCCCATGCCAATGGCAACCCCCCTGATCAAACCCCCGCATGGGTTAGCCCCCAGTCAACATCTCAATCCCCATTAAAATAGACTAAAAGGGTGGTGCACATACCCCAAAATGGTACCATTGGCGTTGACCCACGTCCATTTCACATAGCTGCAAATTCTACTATATATCTGTCCTTTGAGACTATACGCATAAAGCGGCAAATCCTACTATAATTCCAAAAGCTGCATTAAGGGATCCCCAAGTCAAGGACATTTATCATGGTGAGCTCGCTGTAAACAGGCAGACAAATACCCGCTGCAGCAACAAACTCAGTGTGTCGAGGGCTCGCTATGAACTCTACGCCTTCTTCTCTGGCCTTCCAACGCGCGAAAAAATGTTGAGGGGAATCTTGTTCCGTCCTTTCAAGCCAACTTCCACACTGTGCAAACCAAAGTGGACAAACATCTGCACGAATCGCAATCAACACTTGGTACGAAACAGGATCTACTCAAACAAACATAATTCCAAAAACTGTCGCACCTATTTGTGGTTGGCACTTGTTTCATACTAACCTTCATCCACCCAAGTTTCTGAATGGCCCAAAGTACCGAAGAATACACGTTTAACCTTTGGCGGTATAGTGATTCGCAAAGGCCCAACACAGGAACTAAAAAGTCAAACGTCGATTCACTTTGTCCAGGCCTCTGAGCATTGAAAGGACGGTAAGGCATCGACCCGCGCACGATCCGAGCGAGGCGCCCATTCAAGGTCCCCAAAGCCCATGATGACCCGTTTGGTAGAACCACACATGATGACCCGTTTGGTAGAAACCACAGATCTGTAAAGCTAACAGATAAGCTCCACAATCTGAATTAATTAAGGGATCCCCAAGCAACGGACGTTGTCATGAGCTCGTTCTCCCTGCAAGCGAGCTCGCTGGAAGAAAAAAAAGGCAAAACAAGTGGTGCCCATTTCGGGTTGGTTGATTCCACTAGTGGGGAACCCGCCAAAGGGACTTTGATACTAGCACCCTGAGCCATGGCTCAAATTCTTTGGTCCTCATTTGCTTCTTGGGGGGCATCCCCATGCTGATCTGCTCAGTTGCATGCCCGAAACCCGGCCAAGCTGAATAGCAGGGCCTGTGGATCTGCTCTGCCTTTGGGATTCAATTGAGGGTTTCCCTCCGGAAAAATATTGTTGACGAAGGATGAGGGATTCTTGATATTTCTCTGGTGCTCACTGGGCAGCTACTTCAGCAGCCCTCCTTTTGCGAGGTGTCAAAGCCAGCTGCCCAGAGTCGAGTCAAACTCTGGACCTGGCATCAGTCCACCCAAACTCCTTGCAGAGGCGGAACCTTTTTTCTCTAACTGGAGCGGTCAGAACCGTAGGGACTTTATGTTTACTACTGAAATGGTCCAAACCCCAAAAGTGACTAAAGTCTGCTACCTTAGAAGCTGACTTCGGGACCGTTGCCCTCCAATTCAAGGCTTGGACGCCGCCCGAGAAGAGCGCGAGCGAGATTTAGACCCGAAGCTCGGCTAACCTTCGGCGAGCATAACTTCCGCGCGGAAAGATGGCCCGCCTAAGGAGTTGCCAACTTGAAATTCGATTGAGCCAAATCCGAAGCGCCCTCCAACAAGCTCCCTCAAAGGATGCCACCTATAAAAACACCTGCATGCGAACCCCCCAAAGGCTGGGGGAAAAAGCTGGTTGGCCGAAATGCATCCTTTCAGGAATCATTTTCAAGCCACAATTTGGAATTTGGAGGGCTGGCGTGAGGGAAAGCCATCTACGAGAACCAGGGATTCAAGTCCCTAAACTACCAATCCAAACCACCAACTAAGGGTTACCTACTGATAATAACTTGATTGCCCAAGACCTCAGGAAGACCTCAGGAACGTCAGTTCCAAAGAAGGACTGGGTGGGCTTAGGGTGTTTAGGGTAGGTTTCTTGCTGGTTTGGTTTGTCCAGGGTTGGTTACGGGTGGGTCTAGGGTGGGTTTAGGATTTGCCTATGGTGACTTTAGAGTGGGTGGGGTGAGGATTTGGGTTTGCCGCTTAAGGTCATCAGAAAGCCAACCAACGGCCCTGAAAAGCTAGAAAGCAAACAAGGCCACTATATAATGAAGAAAGTGCGCGATTACAAACAAAAGGCCTAAATCCAGTATGGAGAAAAACACAAACAAACATCACGCAAAAGATAGGCAACAACAAATACACTCGTTGATTAATTAAAACCAGCGGCGCTTTGTGTCGTCGAGCCCGAAGAGCAAGGGCTAACCCTACCCGTAGGGTATACCGCTGACGTGTTTTGTTCCGCAGGGTATACCGCTAGCGTGGTTTGTTGCACCAACAGCTCCTCCTCAGCATCACCCGCACGCAGGCCAGCCCAGACATTTGGGCCCCAAAGCCCTGTCCTTGCCACCAGCATCTGCAGCATTCCTGCATCACCAGCATCAGGGCTTTCCAGCAACCCTTGCAACGGCACGGCGGACGCCGACGCACGCTAGATTGGGTGGGTGGCTGGGAATTGTGAAACAAGGTTTCCCAGCCCTGGAATAGGGATTCACAAGCCCGAGCTTCTTGGGTCCTCTCCCTGTTCTTTTTGGATCTTGGCCCTTCCCTGAGGTCCTTGGGATGGGAGGGCGGGGTGGGTGCGGTGGGTAGGTGGGTGCTGAGTGGGTGGGAGGCTGGGTGGGCAACCAACCAGCGCAGCTGATGATGGCGAAGCGATATAAACAAATAAACAAATAACAAACCAACAAATAAATCCATAACTGAATAAAGGCAAGTAGATACTTGAACAAACACACATAAAGAATTAGATTTAATGAGTAAATACATTAGCAAGTACAGTGGGCTATTTAGCACCCAAATGTTGCAAGAGAAAACCATCAAAAGAAAGGAGCAGGACAGGTCTGCTTCAGACGGCTCTTATGGCAACTCCGGACAGCACCGAGCGAGCACTGAAAAAATGCTGAAATGCTGACAAGGGTCCGATTCAGGAATTCTGCTTGCTTCCACAAAACAGCCGTCTCAGGCATGTTTTTATTCTGGCGATTTCATGCCGACCCGTGATACGGCATTGATGAGGAGGTTCCCCTGCAAGTAGTCTAATCTACAGGGGCAACTTCCCAAAGGACTGTGCAAGGCCAACACCATCTGACCACCCAAAACCCGACACGTTTGGCTCTACGCAAGAAGGTTGCAAAGGTTTATGCAAGCTTTCTTGTGTTGAGCCAAGTAGAACCACCTTCCCCTCCTAAGATGGCCCATGGTGGTTGTGGGCTCTGGATAATTCGGCGATGGACCCAGCCCGGGTTGCTACAATCAGGGCCAAATCCGCAACGCGTGGGATAGGAGTGATCTCAATCAACCCAGCCAACCACTTGAACCTGTTTCCCAGAAATGAAGATTTAGCACATCTAAATGACCACATGAATTCGGTAAAACCCCCCCCCCCCCCGCTCCCAGCCATCCGGTGCACCAGCATCTTTTCGGGGGAAAGTCCCCAGTAGCCTTTTCGAACATGGTGACGCTGCAGTTCCCGCACTTTTCACATTAACGTCTGGAATGACAAACTTACGGAACGCAATGTGAGAACAAAATCCCTAAGAACGCGGCGGTATCACAGAAAGAACTGCACAGCAGCATCGTCATTCCCTCTCAGCTGATTGAGGGGGTTCGTATATCCGATTTTGCTTGGTGTCCCTTTTTGAAACCACTAAAAAGGGCAGTGCCCGACAGGGCTGGCCCAAGCCCGCCTCTTTAGGGATCGGATTGCTTTGCAACCCTGCTCACTTAAGTGGACTAGCCTCACTTAAGTCGAGAAACTTGTTCAAAGTAAGCCTTGGGGTCGTCAAGAACGAACTTTTTCCGTCTAGGCACGCTTCGATTCCGAGAATCAGGCCCTTGGCAGCCAACGTCGCTCATAAAGCTCGCTCCTGCTCCTTCTTCGTTAGAGGTTCTACTCACAAGCCCAAATGGACAAATCCCCAATTGGAACTTGGACAGCGGGATAGAGACATGCAGGGCCCAGGGGGCCTCAAACAATCCTGCATCTCACTTCCCGATCCAGTGCAGGCCGAAAGAACCCAACGCCTTGTTCACCACTAAACTGATCTTCCCAAAAAGTGGCTTCAGTGCAGAGCGCAGGAACTCCGGGGAGTGAGACGCTGGGGGCCGGTATGTCCATTTGGTTAATGACTGGGTGAGTACGACGAGTACGACCTTAGCGTCTTTGCGACGCCGCGAGCCTTCCGTAGCCTCTGCTTGCTGGCGTCATGATGGGGGTCCTCTCCTGTTTTGGGTACTCCCGTGTTTTGGTGTGAAGCCCAGCAGCAAAATAGATTATACTTGTCTGATTCTCAAAATAGGGGACCCCTAAAAAGGGTTGGTTGTGTTTCCGTATGGCGCTGATGTGAAACCATACAAACAGACCGCCTTTTTGAACACCCCTCGATCTTGTGGCGCAACTTTGCCGATCAATCTGCCTCATGCTACGAGCAGGGAAAAAGCCAGTGGCACGCCTTACCCCGACAAAGGCTCTTGGAACCCGCCTGGCGGGGGTCTCAGAAGGAATTTCTTAGAAGGATTCTGAAGGCCTTCCTTGTTTGTGGAAAGTGTTTCAGCTTGTCAAGCCAATGTACTTACTCCCTTGGAAGGTATGAATAAATCCGAGGATCTTGCTGTTGAAGCGTTCGACCAAAAAACCCAGCGATTGTACTTCATGACTTCGGACAATGCCCGCCTCAGCCTGTTACAACTGCAATTGCTTAGTAGACCTGCCGTTTGAAGCGGTTGTTTGGAGCTGCGCAGATGGTGATTTCCAACCCGTGCCCAAGCGAGAGCCAGGCAATCAGTTCCTAGTGGGTGATGTGAAAGCGAAGCGGGCGAAGTGGGCAACTGCGAGCTGTTGACCTCTGATCATTGCATACCGTAGCTGCCAAGCCAACGCGCAAACTCGCACAAGGAAATGGCACATCCTACAGAGCAGAAGGAACTGGTAGTGTTGGTAGTGTTTGGCGCGAGCTTGCTTGCCAGCAGTGGAAGTGCTAGACCTCGCAAGCTACTGCCTTGCCTGCATGTCACTCTACAGTCTCGCCTGTGTGCGTTGCTATGTAGTTGAAGTGGCACACTAAGCAGAACGACTGCCCCGCGGCGCCCGCAAGTTCGCAAGGAAGATAAATAGGCAACGCACAAGGTGATCGAAAGCACTCCCGCAGCTATGCCGGTGCTCTTTCTGAGCCAGGCAATGACGCCATACAATCGCTGCAAAGCTTTCCCTACACGCAAAACATAGCCAAAAATGACGCTTACAAATGCAGACCTGCGACGGCTCACAGCCTTTGGCGACGGTCTGGTCCGAGTCAGTTGGTGCCACTCGGGCTGTCACAGCTGTCCGTCACAGCTGTCTGTCACAGGCTCGGACATCCGACATACCTGGCTCTTTTGTTGGCTGCAATCAATCAGATCATCGGTAAAACGAGGTCTGGCACCAAAGGCCATACCCACCATTACACTCACCCGCGCCAAAGGACCTAAAGGTCAATGAAGGTGAAACGTTAAGTTGTTAGGAATCTCGTTTTGGTGGACCCCGTTTTTCTTTTGGGCCCACGTTTATCAGGGGAGGAGCATGTGGCACTTGGACAGACCAAAAAGAGAACCCCAACGGTTTGAAGGTCCATTCGCGTTGGGCTTATATAGAGGACAAGATTCCAGGCGGGTTTCTTTGGCTGCACCCGTGGCCCGTCAGCTACATTTCAACAGGCTAACTCTGAGAGCCATCAACAGGAAACATGCGCCACTGACCAACTGGGGACATTTCGACATGGGGTCTCTTTAGCAGCCAAGCCGACTGTCGAGAGGCTCACGGTACGCTCCTTGCGCAACCCCGTTTAGGGCAACCATAGAGGAACGTCACACAAATTATGCACGCGGTGTGCCTGAGGCACATGTCGTACATTTGTTCAGGAATACGTGAGAAAACGGCGCAAGCAGAGCAGAATCTGAGCAAAGAAAAACAAACCCACCCACTTGTTTGTTGCACTCACAAAACAACTTCACCCAAACTCTTGAAGTTGCAGTCGAGGGCCGTGTCAACAGTTGATTTTCTGACGCAACGGCGCCATCCCAAGGATGCTCATGTTACGAAGTGCACCTGGCCTACCTCTGAGGTTTTCAGAAATCAGATCTTCAGCTGCTGGTTCATATTTCGACAATAATATATTTGGATGCCAGAACCCCAGCCATCCGGTCCCCCATTTAACCCACAAAAAGTTATTCACTCTTCGAGGGGGATCCGAAAACGGACAGCCCAGGATCAAACAAAAGGATTTGAGGGGACCACGAAGGCACCGTTCACACCGAAGAGCTGAAGCTGATTCCATTTCCAACTCTGCCTGGGCCTGGAAGCTGGCTGGGCCGCGTGCGGTTCGGCTCCAAAACATTTAGCAGGTCACAACCCGCTGGAAATGCGGCGATGCTTTCCCAATGGATGGCGCTTGGCCACTTGAAGAAGGGCGGCCTTGGATGAATCAAAAAGTTAAATGCACATCCCGTTGCGGCTTCCTATTGTCTGGCACCAATTCACACTCGCATGTTCAGCGCCTACTTCCAGCGCCGTCTGTGAACAACATCTCTTGCAATCATGTGTCCTTCAAGCCATTTGCTAGCATCACGCGCTGCACGAAAAAGGTGTCTGCAAGACTCCATTAAACAGGGACCATCTTGCGGGTGAAACGTACGCTCTGGCCGCCCAAGCAGCAAAAAACAAAAACTGTACAATTTATGCAGGTTTCCCAAGAATAACTCATTCGCAACTTGGGGTAGCATCAACTTCCCCTCTTTTCTTTAGCTAGCCTTGTTGAAGCCATGGAAGCCATAAAAGGAAGTTTAACAAGAAACTTCCAAACTGAGGTTTGCTGTTCCCCCCTCAGAAATGCATGCGTTACGCGTAGCGGGCCCTGCAAAATAGCAGAAAGCAGAAAACGTTGGGCCCTCGTGCGTGTGTCCTGCCCTCAAAGTCGCGTGCTTTTACGATGTTCGCGTCGCTGGCGCAAGCCTCTGCAGATTTTCGGAGGGACTTTCGCGGCTGCTTGGCATTTTTCAGCTGGCACAAAAGTGAAATGGTGAACCTTCTGCAGACTTTCAGAGGTTTTGAGATGTATCATTTTTTTGAAATCTACTTTTGTGGGGTGATTCCTTAAGGGAAACCAAAAGAAACCATCTGTTTTGGATTTTCCCAGTTTGAAGACTGACCCATATGCTCGGATGTGTCATATTCAGTTAACTTTACCAGGATGTACTTGCACCCATCCGCAGAGGTTGAGGAGCATGAAAGCTGGAAAACAAGGCTCTCCATGTCGTCCCAACCAAGTGTGATCAATTGAGTATCGAGTGTGGATCCAAGAAAAGCCCACATATATATATATATATATATTTGGCATTATTTGGCTGACAGTTTGGGCAGCAGATGGTCCGTCTGCACTGCTGGCAGGCGTGGAATTTTGTTCGGGTGCAGAATCAAGTTCCGCTGGATTTGCTGAACCCAGTCGGACTAAACTCTCCCCTCTCACTCTCCCCTCTCACAAAAGGGATGGGGGGTGCGGGGGTGCTCCAACTCCACAGGAAAACAAAGGCCGCTGCTTTTTCAGCGGCCAGGTCTTCGCCGCCCCCCAAAAAAAGAGGCTTCCCGTCTTTCAAATTCGCCCCCCACACATCCCCCCTTGTCCCATCTCTCGAGTCCGTCTGCTCAGTCGCTTCGTCGCTTCGCATCACAGCGTCACACCATATCGGCCCTCACTGGTGCTCCGACGTGGGACAGCTTCGCCGAGATCGGCCTCACTCGGCACGCTGAAAGGGCGGCTCGGCCAGTTCCCCAAAAAAAAGTCCCAGGTTTAGATCAAACTGCCTGCTCACCATTCGGGTACCTTCGGGCAAAAGGCACATCTAGCTTCGCGTTGAGCAAGTACTCAGATTGACCTGTTGCCAAGCGAAACATCTCTAGAGGAATATTTCGGGCATCCCCACTTTTGGGCTCCTTATGTTAAATTCCAGGGAGCAAGCTATTTGACAAGTCCTTGAGTGGCAAAATAAAACGAGCCGACGGGACGCGCGGTCTTGGTATCAACCATCCCATGGTTGAATACAAAGAAGGAGCATGATGAATATAGACTTGTGGCAATCCGCTGGGAAGCTGATGAGCCGGCTTTCAGAAGCCCACCCATCGTGCCGGCCCCGTGATGGGGCGCTCTCTGATTTTTTTTGAAGGGAAGAGTCTCCGAAAGGAGTGCCGCACACGGAAGAGATCGCACTTCGGGGTCGCAGGGGCAGGGGCCATCCCTGGCTGCCGCGAAAAACCATCAACAGGTAAACCCTTAGCAAACTTGCGTGGGGTTGACCGTCAGCTTGCCTTGTTCATCGTTTGACTCACACACAAGCTATGGAAGACCCAACGAGCTAACTTAAGCAGCTCGCTGACGCACTAGCTAGCGTATGCGACCGTGGTGAATTTGCACGTTTTGGACTTTTAGCGCGTCACCTGTTTCACCGGACGTCCTCTGCGATTCTCAACAAAAAGCGCAAATCGGGGTTGCATGCGTTTTCCTGACAAAAGGAAGTAACCAAAACACGTGGGTGGATTAACCCAAAGCGTGATTGCGGAATTTCCGTGGGTGGAATCCCCCCCGCAAAACGGCTGCCGTGATTCCCAATGCTGAATGTGCCAAAGACTGCCTGCCACAGGTCCAATATATATATATATATATATTATGGACAAAACTGCTGCCTAGGTGCCGCATTGGCTAACTACTTGATTAGCTAACTGGACAACTAAAGCTGACTATCTAACTGGCTAGCTGACCCGGCCATCTAACTAGCTCTCGAACTAGCCAACTAACTACCCTGCTAGCTGGCTGACTCGCCAGCTATTTAACTGGCTAACTCGCAGAAAGCTGGCAAGCCAACTAACGTGCTAAACAGATACCTGGCCAACTGAGCCAACTGCCACGTAGCCAGCTAGCTACCAACTAGCTAAGCTAACTAGCTATTGTGTTCAGTGTCTAGCTGGGCCAACTACCTAGCCATCGAACTGGCTGGCTGGCAAACTAGCTGACTGGCTGGCCAACTAAGGTGATCTAGCGCACAAGCTAATTACCTATCTAGCTAGCAAAGCCAACTAGCTAAGCGGCTACCTAGCCAACCAGCTCACCAGCTACCAGTTGATTGGCTAACTACATAGCTAACTTGACCTCACATATGCACTTGAAGAGAACCACTGCAAAATGGGGTGCAAGCATGCCAGGAACACGCAAGGGACCACCTCCCGTGGCTGCAGGATTTCTGCCACTTCCTTGCTGGTTGAAAGTTGGCTTCCTACAAACAGGTCAGGCCGTTTTGTCGGGCAACCAGGTCCACGTGCAACCCTTTGGTTAGGTTGCCATCTGCAAGCACCAAAAAAAACCTGAGTGGACCCAAATTTGAATCCTTGCGCTGAGCGGCTCGGATAACACGCCTTCCGGCCAATGAGTCCAAACCAAAGGCGCCGCGCCGCTTCAATTCCACGCTCATCTCCAGATTCTTCGGCTTGTTCTGCACGTCCTATTCTCGAGAATGACCTCGTGGGTCATGCCTGCTGATATGAAAAACACCGGGGGTTTCTGATATAGGGCCAACATTTGCAACCAATGTCTAATAGAAGCGGCGCTGGTGAGAAAAGAGACAATCAGGCGCTACAACCACTCCTTGGCGGCAAATTTCCACTGTGCAAAAAGGTTACGTTTATCTTTGCAAAGCCTACCGCAGAATCAACCCGCTAGCTGGGAAATGTCACATTCTAATTGATAGAGGAGCTTCACCCTCGAAAGTAGTTTCAAGAACCCCTCTAAATGTTAAGCACTTTAAAGAACCTTGTAACAGAATGACCCCCCTTGATGCTTTTCTTCGGAGCAAACTCACATTCCGGGATATGTGGGGAAATCAATCCCAGTGGCCATGGATTAAACAAATACCCTTTGCTCAGCTTCCTTCTAGTTGGTGGTTTGGATTGGTGGCTTTGAGGTTAGGAGTTGTTTCCATCCACCCTCTACAAAAGTTGGGGGTTCAAATCCGACCATCCAAACCACCAATTGGAAGAAGGCAGGTTCTTCTCGGAAGCCACAAAACCACCTTGTCCTGTGGGCGATCAGAACCGATTCGTTTCTCCGGTTCGTTCGGGTGAGTGGGAAAGAAACAGGCGCCTCCTCCAGGTAGAGCTCATGCGTTGCGCGGTCCGGCTTCGCAGGCCTGTCGTCCGGCAAATCTTCGGTGTCTTCCTGAGTCTTCGGGGCTGCGGCTCGTCATGTCCACATCTGATTGATGAGTATTGGGCCTATTGTAAGTAAATTAGTGTTGGGCTTATTGTTTCTTTTACTTTTCGTTTCTTTCTTATTATTTTTTTGGGGGGAGGGATAATTGTTTTAGAACACTAAAAAAGTATGGGGCCGATACTAAATTAGTATTTGGCATTTTTTGGGGAGTTGAACTGCTAATCTAGTAGTGGGTCAATGCTCAATTAGCACTGGGCATTTTTGGGGGAGGGATTTTCTTTTGGAATGCTGATTGAATATTGGGCCAATACATGAGTATTGGGCATGGAGTGTTGGGCTGCTAGATAAATTCGTGTTGGGCAACGAGTGCATGATTCTCATGACGCTTTAAAAGATGAAGGGACTAGAGAGTCGGGGTCAACATTAATACGAAATGCAGCTATGAAGGTAGGCATGGCAACCCCAAATATGACTATATGTGCATACAACATGCATACATAATGCAGATTGAAGGCAGCCACGACAGTGCCAAGAATTCATGCTGCGCTAGGGCCAAAAATGCAGACAACATGTACACACAAATGCATGCTGCATGCTTTGTATGCCATCCCGGCCAAGTGCAAACAACATGCATATAAAAGGCACACAACATGCATGCACCGTGCATGAAATGCACATGAAATGCACCTGCCTCGCAAAATGCGGTTTGAAGGTAGCCATGCCAGAGCCAAACATGCATACAAAGTGCATGCAAAAATGCACGGCGCATCACAGCCATAAAAGCGAATGCCCACACAATGCAAACAAGATGCAGTTTGACGGCAGCCAGATCCAAAATGCATACAAATGCATGCAATGCACCTGCATACAAAATGCATTGAACATGCAGCTTAGTTTGCAGGTAGCCAGGCCAAGGCCAGAAGTATGTATCAAGTGCGCAAAAAAAATGGCATGCAGCAGAGCCGCAAATGCACAAAATACAAACAAGCGTGCTGTATGCATGTTGCTTGCCCACACAAAATGCATAAGTACAGTCCAACCATGTCCAACCCAAGCCTGGGCTTGCTGATGGGCCCTCAGATCCCCTGGCAAAAGCTTAAAACTTTTGGCTGGGTGAACTAGAAAGTACCAGTAGACCTAAAACATGAAAAAACAAAAAACTAAGGGGATGGCTGGGAGTGAGACATCGAAAAAAGAAGCAATGCGGGCACAACCAGCCAGCATCACATTAACACGGCACAGTATCACAAGCGGATACGGGCATTGCAAGCATCATCTGCAAAAAAAGCTGCGAGAATCAGAAATAATCACAAACCGACCAACTCGAATTTGGTTGAGTTTAGCGTGTTTTTTGGGGCAACACACGCTCCGCAAATTTTACGCCGTCGCCGTTTTGTTCATACTCTCGGGCTACCGCCGCCGACAAACCAATTAAATGCTCGACTAAAATAGGTTGAGCCAAAATGGCCGCGAGGTGCCATTCTGGACAAGATCCAAACAACGGTTCAAATGAATCCATGTCACCCTAGCCTGCCTAACACAAACATGGGCAAACTTCGCATTTGGTCTTGGAAAGTGGGCTCATAGAAATCCGGACATGTTCGATGAGGCTGGAGAGGAGGCTGGAAGGCAGGCAGGCCTGAAGGGCTTAGAGACAGCCCTACATATATTCGATCGTAGGTGTCTTCGACTCACCTGACTCCAACCAGGCGACAAAGCCGCTTGCTTCCAACACCTGCAATAAGAACTGGATCCCCCAAATTACAGGACCTACCCTGACCCTCCCATCCAAACATGGAGCCTCTGGAAGACCATTTTCCTCTGAAAGGACATGTGGCGGTTTTCATGTTAGACAGGAGGGTACATCATGGGTGAAATCGCTCGTTACCCTCGACTCGGTGGAACTGCTGGATTGGTGAATATTTGTCGCCGGCACTGCCGCACTGGGGTTCCCTACAAGCAAAGGAAGTTCAAACTAGAGAGGCTCTAGATGACACTTACAACCCACAAGGTCAAAACTGGGCATTGGCATGTGCTTTAGGTGGCACCTTGGGCCATAAGGGGAAATAGTGGGCATTTCTTTTTGGAGGGGGGGACCAAACATGGCCGTTTCCCTGTTGGTCCCCCCCGAACAAAAGGGGATCCTCAAAACAGCAGCACCAAAACTAACTGAGGTCGCCAGCCTAGCGCTGCAAGTCCCAAGGTCGAAAATGGGACCGAGCCGCATAAAAGGTGGACTGCGGAGAGATCAGGCGCGGGCGCGCACGTGGAACCTGGCGCCGCATTCTTTTCCATTTTCCCCACCCGGGGGCCCGGGGGGTGGTGAGTCTGAAGCCGCTCTTTTGCCACTCAATTGTAGTGATTGAGACCAAGGGATCGTTGGTTTTCAGAGCCAAGTTTACAGACAGTTGGCTGGCTGTGGGGATGGGCGATCCATTCAGTAAATGTCTTCCCGCCTGAACTGGACATCATGATGGCACCCAGTTCTACATTACTTGTCGTTTACCGAAGAAGGGAACGCATTTGAGGACAATTGGGAAGGGCCTCAACTAGGACAAGGACCGAACAATCTGGGGACCAAGCTGGAGATCCAGCCTCGCTTCAGATAAAACTTGGAAGGGCCCCGCCCCAGCTGTCCACCCACCCCGAACCCTGGAACGACCACTTCAAAGATTCAAAGAGCCGGAAAGATCTGCTGTAGGGTCCTAGGCTTACTTCGCCTGAGTGAGGCCCTTGCATGGAACTGTTGCAGAGGGCCCAGGGCTCTCTGCCGCGCTGCGCATGGGGCGCCAGGGGTCCGTGGACCTATTACCATCCTATGCCCATGTCCATCCGTTGCCGGCGGATTGAAGATCCACACATTGCCCCTGCCTGATTGCGCTCACTGGCCCAAACATTGGCTTAATTTGGTGGTTGTTTTGACTCACTTCTTGAGTGGATTTGCCAAAACACGGTCCAAACTTCTGACTTACCACTAAAGTTGCCTTTGCCAAGAAGCTTAAAGTCCAGGCACTCAGAGAGTGAGTTCCCGAAGTTGCCCCATCCAAATCAAATGTGACACAGGGAAGCAACCCGGGTGCCTGGGTCGTTCGTGCCTCCCTTCAATCCAAGCGGCGTCAGGCGCTCCCGGAGGGAAGCCATCATCCAAGAAGTCAGCTCCTAGCTGAAAACCGCCCATCAACACCCTCTTCTAGGTGCTCCAGATTTGAGTGGTTAGAATAAGTTGGTACCCGATGTTTTTCTGTAGTCTATGTTAGTAGGGGACCCCTCCCCCAAAGAAGGGTAAAAGGGCACTTCTGGGGGATCAGTCTTCTTCCATTTCCTTTTTCGCCCTCGACAGAAATGAGAAAATATGTCCAGTGATACCCTCCCAATTACAAAAAGCCCCTGACAGTCCCTTTAAAAGGAAAAATTGGCGGAAGGGTTTTTATTTCCATGAAAACCAACCGGGAAACGTAAAGCATATAATAAAAAAGGGCGTTTTTCATCAGCTTCCCTCTGATTGGTGGTTTGGATGGGTGGCTTGGAGGTGACGGGGCGCTTCCCACAAGACACATGGGTCCGGATCCCGAAACCACCAATTCACACCAACCTCACGGGTAGCCTGACTTCACCGACTGGGCTATGGCCCCCACCAGAACGGCCGAAGCAAACAAGTTCAACGTGTTGGGTGAAAGCAGATGTCACAAACCCCTTTACGTGTGTAACCTGTGGGGGGGACTAGCGCAACATGGATGAGAATTGACATCGCAATCTTCCCACGTTTGTAGTTAGTACTCCCCAAAAGCCGAACATGTCATTCTGAGGTCTCTCTTTTCCAGCAATATTCGGCGTATACCAACTTGGCCACTGGTGTTGACACCATGCTTTCATCCCACAAAAAGTGAGAGGTTGATTTGGAGCCACATATCCGAACTGCTCCCCCCGTGTTCCTTTTGCCCAGCCTTCCCCCAACCCTTCTAAGGGCCCTCGGAAGGACGAAGGCTACTGTAGCTCCTTTGGAGAATTTGAACATCCACTTTCATGTTTGTTCCCCTCCTTCACTCTTCTAAAGCATCACTACTTGGGGAGGGTGGGGAGGTGGGGGGGGCGGGGGAAATCTGGACCCAATTATATCCATCTAGTCTTCCCCCAAAAAGGGAAAGCGCAAGCATAAATGGAGATCTGCAGGGGTCGAATTCCCCCTTTCCCCAATTCCATCGAGGGGGTGAGGATCCCAAAATATGTTTGCCTTTGAAATCCGAACCGATTGCGAGAAATCAATGCATTGACTTGTTGAGAGCAAGCCTTCGGCTTGCACAGGGTCCGTCCAATGCAGTTAACTTGTTTCTGGCTGGGGCGAGGAAAAGGGAAACCCAAGATCAAGTTTAAGAATGCCTCGGACTCAAACAGGAAAGACGTTGAGAGGCGCAGCATTTCACTCATTTCACTCAGTTCTCAACTCACGTTTTGCTGCTAGCGCGTCTTCGTGCTGTCTCTTCCCCTGCCTGGCTTCTGCGAAGGCGAGATCTCGCCCAACAGCGTACCGGCGCGGCTGGCATAGGTGATGTCCAGGAATGGGCCCATGCTTCCAAGCGGAATTCACAGATCCCCAAATCTCTCAATGCATGCTGAGCCGAGTGGGGTGAGCCACAGATTGCGCGGTTTGTGTGTGTGTGTGGCATCTTTAAGCGGCAACCCGGGCATCTTTAAGCCGGTCTTCCTCTTCTGGCCCAAAGAAACGTGGGTATATCCACTTTGGGTTGACAGGTTCACGTAAATATCAACTGTTTTTTCCCAGTTTCCCTGCAGGCGCCAGGAAAAAGTCTCCCGGCACACCGGAAGACAACCACGCGCTTGCCATTGATTCGGGTTCGAGGTCTTGAGGGAGGCGGGGGGCTACACCCATGGGGAGACTGGACATGTTGGCTGCAACCAAATCGATGCGCCGAGGAACTTGGGCAGCAAGGCATCCATGTCCTCTGCAACGATCGTCTCCTTGACACATCGGGATCCGAAGTCGACCCAAGGCGTGTCGGTCCGCCTATGACGGCTGAAGTTCATCACGGGAAGTGGCATGTTCTTTACTTTCCTCACCCCCGAAGGCTAACCAACAGAACCTGTTGATGGAACATGGGCATCAAGGTCTGTGTTTCCATCCAAAATGGCACGTACTACCCATAGTCCATTCCAGCAAGCGCTGCAATATCCGAAGCTTTGCTGGCAATGGAATTCTCAGACTTCAGGACAACCCCTTTCTGCCCTTTCACCCGTTTAAGTTTCCATCCTCCCTCAACGTACCAGCGCAAGCATATATATATATATATATACACATGTTTGTATACATTGTATACGCATGTTTCTTGAGTGTGCCAATTTCAGGCCGGTTGAAAGGCAGGCCAAGCAGGGCCGCCAGCTAAGTTCAAGGACCCCCCCCCAGGGAAAGGAACGCGAAAATGGCCATGGGTGGAATCGCAGGCCTAACCTTTTCCCCAAAATAGGATTGTATCAGGACCGGATGTTGGCATCTGATTCACCAAGCCTGTGACTGAAAACGTCTTGTTTCAGACCCAGCCAACCGCCGGCCAATCTCACTTCCGACCGGCGAAAGGTCCAAACCCAAAAAACATAAAGCCCAAGAACACAGGAAGTGAGCAATCAGGTTCCCTCTGATTGGTGGATTGGATTGGTGGTGAAACGGGGTGGTTCCGGGCTGAAAGCAACGATTAGGCACCCTAAAGCTGATTGGCACGCAAACGCCACGGCCGGCCCAGGTACCCTCCCACCAAAACCCGACGCTTGCAGGGCCGTGGTTTGGACAACTGTCCTTTCAAACCGGTCTCGAAGGTTGCATGTTAATTGGAGGGCATATGAGGGCATCATCCGCCGGAACCCGTCCTGAAATCCTGAAAGCTCCGACTGTTTCAGCCGGGGAACCGCAATCTGAAATTACCAAATCAAAGCTATTGCCAATACTTTGGCCATGCCAATGCTATTTGTTCCATAACCCCCCCCGCCCAGGGTTGCCATTCCAAGACCATGACAAGATAGGTTGCTTTGATTTGTGAAGTCCCCCTAGCCAAACAAGCTCACACCGGGGAGCCCGAGGAAGCCCAGTTTTCAGGGCAAGGGATGGGGTGGCCGTATGGCGCAACGAGAAAGGGGCGGATCCGATTTCGTTTTCGTCTCCCAAAGGACGTGGGAACAAAAGGGGAACAAAAGAAAGAACAACAAAACAATACGCCGCCCAACTCGAGCACCAAGCTATTCGGGAATTCCTGTAAGCCCGAAGTCTCACGTTGCTAAGTTTCGAGTTGCAAACCACTAGGATTCGAATCCAGCGGCAAACATCAGTGCAAGGCTCACGGAACACGGCCCAAAAGCTTCAAGCCCCCCAAAGTGAAGTGTGAGGAGACACGTAGCCCAAAAGGCAAGAAACCGGTAGGAAAGCCCCAAAGATCGTGTTCAACGGCAACTGAAAAAGGGGGACTGCCCGATTGAGGTACCCGTGAAACAAAAGCCCGATCTGGCTTTTTTTGGGCCCTTGCCGGCACGGTTTCGGGCGCAAAATCCTCAAGTACGCTTGGTCCGGCCATACAAGAAACTCACCAAGTGAATTGATACAACTTGACGGGAGAAAAAAACAAAAAACTATTTTTTGCTTTGGGGGGGGGAGGACCTTGTTGGACCCCGACAGACTTTTTAGGGAAACATCGAGCAAACACCGGAAACCCGCAGAATTGGGCCAGCAAGGCCAAAATGAGGATGAAACCTCCAAAGCAAGATTCAGAGTTGACCAACTGAGTTGGTCCCCCTCGCGCCATGGAAGGCACCTGAGGTCCTTGGAACAGAAATGCACCAAACATGTTCCCCTTGCCAGGCCAAAGGAGGAACGGGGATGGCATGGGAACTAGTGGGACGTCACCTGTTCGAGTCGTCAACCCACCATGTGGGTCTTTTTGTTTGAGGGAGCCCTTTTTGGGCTGGCTTAACCAAACGGAACCCACCCTTTGGGGGTCCTTCAAAACGCCGCACCATTTAGAGGCTCGACTTCTTTGCGTGATCTCGGCTCCTGAGGGCAAATGCTCCAAAAATATCCCCCGTACCTCTGATTCATCGAGGCTTTGCAAGACTGCTCTCATGTTTGTCTTTCTCAGTCTCTCTGCCTCTAAAGCTCCTGGGACAACCCTCAGATCTCGTCCCTTCCGATTCTAACCAAGCTCCTCCAGAGAGGACCTAGAATAAGGCTGCCCTTTCTTCGGTAGTCTATTTTTTAGGGGCTTGCCCTCCCAACCAACAAAGGGGAGAGAAGGGCACGAACCCAGTTTTGTTTCATGGCACCCAATGGTTGCCAGACACCGCCGAGCAGATCTAAGTCTGCCCTCCCCACCTAAAAAAAGCCACGGCTAGGGCGCCAGTTGCTGCGGGGACGCCAAGCGGGTCAGCCGGTCACACGCGCCTCGCCCGGGCCGCCCCGCGTTTACGGGCCCCGAGCTTTCGGAACCGACTCCGCGCCTCGAATCCGAAGACGCGGCGCGGGAGGTCCGGCAGCTCCTGACGGAACTGACGACTGCAACCCGAGGGAACCCAAAACCGAAAACTAGGGCGGTTGAGTCCCAATCCTGGGGTTGAAGTCCCAAAAGAGTGCTTGAACTAGGGGGAACTCCACTCTTTTCAACCATGAGTTCTTTTCAAAAACCCATCGCTGTTTCCCTGGCTGTTTGATGGTATCCTGAAAAGATTCGGATCCCTGGGTTCAGAATGGAAATGAAAAAGCTACCCCTAGAGAACTGGTGTTGTTCTCCTGCCGCTTTTTTTCTGACCGAAAGGGGCCCCCAAAATGGGAGAGAAACCTTCTCGAACCCGAGAAAGATCGGATCCTACCTCCATTGCGAGCCAAGCCAAAACCCGCCGGTCGTCTTCCAATCCCCTGAGGTCCTGTCCACTTCCGAAAAAGGGCTTGGTCAAAGGGTGAATCCCTACTTTCAAAAAAAGAAAGTGGAGATTGAAAGCGGGCTGTTCGCGAGGTCCTTCCTCCAGGTCCTATTCTTGGGGTGGATACCTGAAAGCTTGGGCCGAGTCTTGCCTAACTTGAAGGGACTTGCTCTCCCAGATGCGCGTAGAAGGATCTTAAAGGGAAGACCACATTGTTTTTTACCTGGGCCCTGGGTTTCTCTTGGAAATCGACAGTGCCTTTTGAATGCTGGCCTCTTGCAAAATCCTTTGTGGGCTGTGGGGCGCACGCTCAAACTGAAAGGACGCCATTTTTTGGGGTTGGGAGCGCGTGGTTCTACGCCCTCTTCGGTGATGTAGCCATATTTACCGATCGAGAACAAGTACCACATGGTTTGCAAGCGTAGAGCCATACATAAAATCACATTGTTTACCAAAGCCGGCATTGCACGCAAAAAAAGAATCCTATGTACAACACCTGCTTCATTTATACCACACGACATTGGCATTGTCCAAGCATGACGTCGTACATCTATATTATGCTCATATGAGATTGTGAAAAAAAGGGGGGGTCCTCGCCGCAAAAAAAGAACAAAGAAAGAAGAAACACTTGGTTGCCCCTTGGCTTCCCTTTTCTCACCAGCCAGAAGTGGACCCAAAAAACGACTTACCCGTAAGGTTGGTAAAACCAGTTGCAACAACAACAAAAAGAGTTAACACGAAATCTTCCATTGAGGTGCATGCTCTAGGCCCTACCCACAGTCATAGAACCCTATGACCACCCCCAACACACCTTCAACTGTTGTCTATTCTAATCTTTTCGGTGGCGGGTTTCGGGTGGGGGGGCTTGGGGGATCCCATTCAGGGGTGTGACATATTGTGGACGGACGACATCCGTTCGCACCCTTCAAAACCCTTGGAGTGATTCGATCCCCCAACGCAATACCAACAATGAGTTCAACCATGGTTTCATTGCGTGGTGCGAGAAGCGGATTTCGTCCATCCTGCAATTCTCGCGATATTCCCAAAACCTGAAATATGGCATCCCCAAGTAAAGGGTCTTTGCCATGGTGAGCTCGCTGTACTCCCAGGTGAGCTTGCCAGAAAATATGCAGATCCATGGAAGCCTCTCCTGGTCCGTCTTGGCCAGCACCGAGCGGTAGTTGCAACAGCGCCGCAGGGCCCGCGGAAGGCATTCGCGCCTGTTTTTGCGCCCAAAACCAAGCAGTTTATAGTGGGTTGTGTAGGTGTTATGGCGGGTTTATATAGGCGTAGTGGTTCATATAGGTGTTATGGTGGTGCATATTAGTGTAGTGCGGGAGTGGTGGTTTACGTAAGGTTGTAGTTTGTTTGTTTTTTCTCCCCGTGTCTCGGTGAAGTGGTTTATTGTGTTGCACAGTTGGTTTATGTGTTCATTGGCTCTAGTGGTTCTAGTGCTCAACATCCATTCGTTCTACCGACACAGTTATACAGGTTTGCTCCTAAAATGAATGTAGAACCACCTGCTACCCGCAAGGTTTATGTTGCTAGCCTACGAAGGCTCTTGTTACAAAGGCCTTTTCTTGGAATCCCGCAGCACCGCTTACTAAAACTTGGTCTCAGTAGGGAATGACCCAGGATTTGCGGAATGCATGTAGGGACTCCCTTAAAGGAAACCATTGAGGACGGCTTTTCTCGGGATCGTCATTCCAATTCTCATTCCCTGCTGAGAACCAGCAAGAAAACTATCCGTCTGCCCCGAGCCACGGGGTCTCTGAAGGCTCCTTCCGGCGGAAGGACCGAATCAGGAGCATAGGGCTTGGTTACGGGCTTCAACCATTTACTACCCTCCAGTCATCCAACATGGAACCTGGGATTTAGAGCTCTACTGCAAAAGTACCCTCCAGACATGACACGGACCAAATGAAATCAAATTTTGAAGTGACTATCATTGGTCATTGGCATCATTGGTTCTGGGCCCACTTCCAAAAGCTTTGAATCTCTCTCAAGAATTCCGAGTCTACGTTGCAAACGTTGCAAAGACAAAACATGGGGCCCGTGACGCCAGTTCAACTGGGTCTCTCTGTTCTTTTTTGGGGTGGTTTTAGATATGGGCCCATGGGGCCCTTGGGATTCCAAGATGTTGAAAGGCTGGGGTCCTGCGATTGTTCAAGAGCCTGAACTGTAGGGAGCTTCATCCAAACTGAAACTCAACTCTTACACTCCCCCGGCCACGGAAGCCTGCAGAAGGCCTTTGGAACACTCTGGGGCCCTGGGTGGTAGCTTCCCACCCACCTACATTGGGAAAAAGGACTGTTTTGCAGCTCTATAGGCTCTAACGGCACTGATCTCATTTTCAGCCGTGAACATAAAAAAGAACCAACACAAAGAAACATGCCCCAAAAGAAGGGAACCATGGGCGTCTGGAGCAACAGAATCATCCGGAAATCAATCTGAAAAAGCACAGCATGGTTGCCTCCTGCCCACTCAAAATGGACCCTGACAAAAGATCTTTGAAAAACCACGTTCTTATGCTGAAAGAACCCTCCCAACACGCTCTATGGCATTGCGGGTACGTCCCCGGGAAATGTCAGGCGACATCGAAGCTGTGGACATTGTAATCAGGACGGTGCAAAACCCATGGGACCAACAACACATACAATCTGTGGCAAATGGCCGCAGTACAGGCCAGCAAAGTTCTGCTCTCCTGGGTAAACCACCACTTCTCCGCAAATGCTTCATTGATTCCAATTCGATTTGTGAGGATTTTGTGAGGTGTGCTCTTATCAAATTTGCCAGCCTCATTCGCCGCGTTACGAGGCAAGGGTCGCCAAGATCAAACAAGTTGGACCTGCAGGAAACTCCATTGAAAAAGAATCCTTTTCCCACAAACTTAAAGCTTAAAAATCCAATAGCAGGCAAGATGTAGGATTTCGATTGAACATTTGGGGTCCGAAACAATATAAATCATGATCTTGAAACAAAAAACAACAGAAACAAAAATAAAACAAAAAACATCCCCATCCATGCTTGGTTTCGTTTTGAAGCAAGCCCCGCAGAAAAGAAGCACATGTTTGGAGTTCACCAGCGTATTTGTTTGGAATTATTAAAAACAATGGAGTTGAATGAACAACTGGGCTTGCAAGGCATCAATTTCACCCTTAAATGCCATTGGCAACCCTCCAGCAAGGGGCAACAAATTTGACACTGTTTCCAGGGCTGGTGTTTGAAACGCCCCTTGAGGTTTGCCCAAAGTCCCAATTTCCTCACTCAAATTGGCACGAGAGGTCTGCCCCGAGCTTTTCTCAGGATCTTGGCGCTGCCTTTGGCGGCGCCAAGTTGACTCCTTGGCGACTCGTTGGCCAAGCGCCTGGGCGCTTGTGCCCATTACGCGATCCGACTCAAACCCAGACCCAGACCCACCCGAAAGGGCCTTTTCGCGAATTCACATACCAAAGGAACGGCAAGAAACATCGAACTGAGGAAACCAGCTCCCCGCCCGGGAAAGGTTCGCAGAACCTTCTTAGCTGTGTTGCATGGAAGGGGCCGCCTAGTGTCACTCCTGAACTGGCTTCAATCGCTTCGGCCTTCCACTGTTTGACCCGAGCCCGGGGCACTGATGTGGCATGCCTCACTTGCCCTCCAATGGGTGCACGTCTTTCAGACAAAAAACCCGACAGCCCAGGGGGAAACAAAAGCACGCTCAAATCAACCTATCATGAATGAAATAATGTACTCCTACCAAGCCAATCAAACCCACTTTGAGGCCACATACACCAGATAAACTCATCGAATTCCGGTGCTGGTCAACTGCACTGGGCTTTGGCTTTTGCTCACACTCCGCGCAGGAGGCTGCCCATACTCCGCGCCAGCTTTTCAGAGTCCGGCTTGGAATCCACGCGCTGCTGCCTTGCAAAAGAATCGGCTCAAGGAGGCCACTAAACTTGGATGCGGTAGATCCCCCAGCCAAAAGATTCACTTTTTGCTGGTTAAAAATAACTATGAGGGGAATCCAAAAAGTTAAAGTTTAAAGATCCAACCCAACAGCAGTAGAGTAAAGGCCCTCGTTCGGCAGATTCTTAGGCGGTTTCATTTTGAAAGGGCATACAAGCTTCGCAACCAGGTCTCTGCCCCGATCGGCACGGGACAAAGGATGCCTGCGGGCTTTTGTACCCATGGCTAATGCCAAAAAAAGATGCCTAAAAAATCGAATGAAAGATCTGCAAAGATACTTTTTCAGGTTCCCATGTGGACTCCAAAGATCTGCTCAACCGGCTGGGAACCGAACGCATTGCGATTGACACCAGGAAGGCGACTTGCTGAGGGCTGAGTCCAGAGGCCCAAGCGCTTCGACCGAGATAGGTCCGACCCCCCGCCCAAGACCTCATTTAAGAGGCCTTTCTGGGTTGAAGGCGCTCAAATTCAGGGTCCTAGGGGCTCCTGTAAACATCGGATTCTAAGCTTAATTCCTCATGGGGGCTGGAGGGAGAGGGAGAGGGAGCCCTCTTTCAGCTTTTGCTAAGGCCATATTAAGCCCTGATTTGGGCTGATTTGGGCCACCTCCCCCCACCTCCCCAGCCACATTTTTTTTCCCACGTCCGACCTCAAAAACCGCGGTTCGGCCAGGCCGCAGCGCTTGGCTGCGCAAGCTCTGCCGCAGCAAACGCTGGTCCTCCTCACCCGTGGAGATCTTCGAGCCGGGTCCATTCCGTGGGGCAACTTCCATGTCCATTTTGAACCCAGGGATCCGAATCTTTCCAGAAAACCACCGAACACCCTGGGGAAATGGCTGGTGTTTGAAAAGAACGATGGCTGAAAATACTGGGGAATCAACCCCTAGAATTAAAGTGACATCTCCAGAACCATACTCTAAGCTTCCATTTCATCAAGAGCAATGTCTGCCCTCATGTGTTGGCCGACCTGAAGCTGGAGCGTAATTAGCGCTGATGTTGTTCGCCCTCGAATCGTAGAACCATGTAAAATTTGGTGCCCCTTTAGAAGAAAGGGGTGCCAACTCCAAAAATCACACCCAACATGTATTATATAAATGGATGTGGCTCACATTAAACAGGAGGGGTTACGCAGGCTTTGGTCCATGTTTCCACTTACCAGGGTTCCGTTTTTGGCACCGGTTTTTTGAGCCACAGCCACATATGTATAGATCTGCATCCCCTCTGAACAAATTTCAGTACTTCGAGGGGGAGCAGAAACAAACACACGTAGGCCTCAGGGCCCTATGAGGACCCACCGCATCCTGCTTCGGTTCAGAAGCCTCGAAGGCATGCGTAAAAAGCAAGCAACCCTCCAACCCCCCCATGGGTTTCTGGTGTCCATTGAGAGAACCGAAAGCTGGCACCCTTTCTGACTTGCCCGAAGGACCTGGAAATAAATGGTGAAACTTTTGGACTAAGTATGGACCGAAACGGGAAACCAAAAGGTCCCGGCAATCTTTCGAAACAACGTCGAAAGCTAAGCAAACAGAAAACATGCTCCGGGCAAGGTGTAACAGCAGGTGGTGGCAAGCCAGCCCAGCCTGACAAACCAGGAATGTCGAAATGCAAGTCTAACCAATCGCAAAGAATGCGGCCGAGCAATGTGTAATGCCAGAATGTCGCAGAACAGTCAAGACACAGCGGGAACCTCCCAATACATTAGCGTGGCACTCCAGGAATGGAATTTGTGGCATCTATAAACACCCAAACAAGATACGCGTCCTGCGCTTGTCTCCGGAGATCGGCCGAGCGCTTGCGCTCCCCCAGCAGCGCCTCCGCACGCAGGGACTTGGTCCTCTGGCCGGGGCAAACGGCCCTCCTAGCTTCCTGGCCTCCTGGTGTCGTGGTTTCTTGGTTTCTTGGTTGCTCGCTCATGTTCTAGCTTTAAAATGGGGTTCGAGCCATTTTTTTTTTGCATTGGTTCTGCCTGTTCTGCCCAAAGATCTGGGAATAGGCCCATGGCGAAGGGTCTAGAATTAAACAGGCGATCGCGCGGCTGCAGCAAGCCAAAGGAACTGGACATAGAAGGTGACCGCTTGACGAAAAGTGGAACAGCCGAACACGTAAACATCTTGTGCTTCTAAGCCTTTTACCGCTTATAGCCTGTTGCCCAGCCATAGCCCCAAGTACTTACAGCTGGATCCCCGCGCAGCTTGGCCAGGGAATTGCGCTATCTAGTTTCCCGAGTCGCGTGGGGAACTCTACAAGCCATCATCTTATGAGTCTGCTTC